TTTTTAAACTTTATTTCGACGTAAAAAATTTATTTGCGATACATTTTAATTAACTTTAAATTTTCTAATATTTTTAATACCGAATTTTGTTTCGCGAAGTAAAAAATATTTTGTGACGAAAGAATTCTTTTAAATTCAATTTAGTCTTCGTGCTGTGTGTGTGTGTGTCACGACGCCGGCTGTTTCAACCCCTCGCCACGGTAAAAATATGGCATGTGAGAGCGCGCGTATATATATTTGCCTCACCCTCTATTCGGGACCCTCGTCACGTGGTCATCAAGCAGGTACGCATCAGCTGATGTATGCGCGCGGGCGAATCTTATTGACTGACTGACTGACTGACTAACTGACTGAGTGACTGACTGACTATAACTCGTCCCTTGGGCGATACACTGTCACTCGACGCAAATGATAGACCAGGATGTCATTATCGATCGCCTCGCGCGTTGCAAATCCCGGGCTTTTTTCTTTTCACATGAAGAGTGCAATTTTTTTTTTTTTGTTTTTTTTTGTTTTGGTATATCGCGCGACTACAACGTTACGTAACAATTTTTTAGTTCTCTTGCGAGAACTCACTGTTGCACTGTAATTTTTGTAAAATAACAACGTGCTTGATACGTTCGCATGTTGAATGATGGTTTCCGAATGTGTAACGATAAAACTCGTAATCGGTCAACAATTGAGAGTCGAAAGTTATGAGAACGGGTCGATCCGATCGAAGCGTGCGTTTAATAAAACAGGCCGCATCGCTTCACATTAAGAATGGCCCGTGAAAGCGTGACTTTTGTTCGCATTTTACTGCAAACGAGAAATAGAATAGAATCAGGAATTTGTGTGTTCGCGCGGTACGAACTCGCGAATGTATTCAACGAAAATACAATTCACTTGCGCGCTTTTGGCCAAAAGCCAAAAGCGAGAAATATTTTCTTTGTCGAAGTAATAAAATTTTTCTATGTGTTTCTTCGCTCTTCTCGAGTTTCGGACGTTCGAGCAAATACAAATCGACGTCGCTGCAAATTGACGCGCGACTGTCGCAATATCCGTGTGTGTCCTCTCTCCGTGCGCCGACTCCCGTCTATTTTTACGCATTCTCATTCCTGGAGGTGATCCGCCGGCGCATAGCGACGGTTGAGCGCGGCTCCCGAGGAGAGATTAGGTAACGCGCGTTTCCTGCGGCGGCAAGTGAAATTTTCGCGGCTGGCTTTTCGAAGGAGGAAGAGGAAACCGGCGGATAACGAGCGACGACGGCGGCGGCGGCGGCAGCGGCGACGACGACGACGACGACGACGACACCCTACCGTCGCCGGCGCGCGATGCAGCACATTTACATGCGACCGTATTCGCTCGCTTCCTCTTTTCTCCCCGCGCGACCGTTTTCCGCGATGATTAATACTCGCGTATATACGCGCTCCCGAGATTGCAGTTCTCGTCCTGTTGTACGTGAAGAAACGTGAGTTTAAATGGAGGAAGAAAGAGAGAGAAAGAGAAAAAGACAGAGAGAAAAGAGAGAATGAAAGGAGGAAGAAAGAGAAGGAGAGAAAAAGAGAGAGAGAGAGAGAGAAATCGAAAGAGGAGCACACACAGGGGCCCGAGAAGAGGAGCGACGAGCGACGGAGGCCCGGGCTGGCGGAGGAGCGAAGAAGGGAAGAGAGAGGCGAGAGAAGGTGGAGGTATGCTGCGCAGCCGTGGGAACCGACTGCCGAGCCAACCTCCTCCTCTCGTCCTCTTCGCTCTATCGCTGGCCGCGCCTGCCGTCTCTCGCTCTATCATACACGGTCTCTCTTTTCTTTCTTTTTCGCTCGCTCGCTCGCTCGCTCGCTCGCTTGCTCGCTCACTCTCGTCATCCGGCATCGAGGACCTCTCCGATTCTTCTTCTTTCTTCGTCATCCGCGTGGAAGAGAATCTCCAAGACGAGCGGCGAACGCGTTTTCCCTTTTTCCTTCTCGGAGATTCCCCCCCGCACGATCGTCTATCGTCCTGCGGATTTCACCTCTTCCTCCTTCTCCTCTCTCTTCTCGTTTTCTTCTTCCGCGATCCCGTCGTCGTCGGCAATCGCCGCCACACAGACGCGCACGCACACACGAACAAGCGCATTGTTCCCGCAAAGAACCGCGCCTTTTTTTCGAGCGCGATTCCTCGCCGATTTCATTCCGATCCCCCGTAATAAATTAGCGGACGATCACGGTGGCATTTGTCCTCTCTCAACGATTTATTTCCTGCTTCTCCTACTTCGACGCTTCGTTCCTGATTTGTTGTTTGCCTCGTCCCGGCCGAACGATTCTCGTCTCTTTTTCTCTCTCTTTCTCTCTCTCTCTCTCCACCCTCCTACCTTTCTCCTTTTTTTCGGAAGGTGAACTCCGCGTGTTTGAACCACCGAGAGACGTGTCCTTGCCGCGAGAGAAAAAGGCAGTGTAGCCCTGTGTGTTCTCTCGTCTCGCTTCCGTCTACGCCTACTATGTTCTACCCTTTTGCTTGTTCTTTTTTTTTTTTTCTTCTCTTTTCTCGTGTTTGAGGCCCACCGAACCGGTCGTCTCGGACGCATCTCACGCACATTCGGTACAAAAGATTCACTGCAACTCCAACATTGCTGTCTCTCTTGTTTCTCTCCTCTCTCTTTCTTCGCTCGTTTCTTTTAGCGGAGACAAATTGTTCCCGCGTCCTTCAACCCTTTCGCGGCGAAGGGCGAGCTCGTACCTGTACTTACGCGCGTTATATACCGTTGGGCTAATTTCACCTTGCAAATTGTACGCACACACTCGGTATATTCAATAATGCAGGCGCAATGCAATTATTTTCGCAGAAAATTGAAATGATTGCTTCCTAATAGGAACGTCGATCAATTAAATTTTAAATCCCATAAATTTTCTCATTTCTCTTCAATTTGGTGGATTATGTTTTTTTATATAAAAAAAAAATTATCTCTGATTTCCGCGCCAGGTTAGTTTTATTATTAACATAAAAGTGCATAGGTATACACATGTGTGTAAGAGCATACACGTTGATCCAGTTTCTCATATTTTGTTGTTGCTGTTGTTGTTGTTGTTGTTGTATACGGAGTTTTATTACCGCGATAATTATTTACGGTTTCATTTCGCGCGACGAGATTGCGTAGAATGTTATATAGGTGAGCGAGAAACTCACGAAACACACAAGAGCGTAATATGCGGAGCCACATAAATTTTCATGTGCGAAATGACATTCGCGCGGGATTACCGGGGAAGAGAACTCGGGCGAAACGCGAAATGGAATGGCGACGTGCCCGGCGGATATAAACATTTATTATTCTCTATGCGGCGCAATGCGACTAACGAGGTCGTGTATATAATGCCGTGGCGCTCTCTTTTCTGTATATACGTTTCGTGTGACGTTAATAATTAAACGACACACGTTATTACTGTATATATGCAATTGACCCGGTATACACACCAGCGCAACGTATGTGTACATACATACATACACAACGCACTTCATTATAACGCCTTAACCCACGAAGTGGCATCAATTTTGAGATACACAATAACATCCCCGCTGCTCGTTCCCAAAGCGGGCCGCCTCGTGCGGTTTCGCTCGGCGATTCGAATATCGTTACGGGATTTACGAGCTGTCGTTTCGGGTGTCTCTCTACCGGGTATATCTTTTGCTATATATATATATATATATATATATATACGTACATACGTACATATACACGCACACACACACACACACACACACACGCAAAAATTGCGCCGCACGGAACCATGTGCGTCCATCCATAATAAACCCCAAGTTTCTCCCGCACTTCCGTTTTATCCAAGGATTTCAGAAATTCGTTTATTTTTCAATTTTATTTTATCAATGACGGTATTTATTACATTAAAAAATTTATTAATTTACAAATAAAAAATATTACGAAGATTTTCTTGAAATAAAATTATAAAAGCGAATTAAAACACAATTTTCTGAAATTAAATAATAAATATATCTCTGAGTATAAAAGAAATAATTTATAAAAATAAATAACACGAAAATTGTTATTGTCACAAATTGAAACTAATTGACACGAAACAACGTACATCGAGCACTATAAATTGACAAGTCAACAGATGACAATTATACGAAATGTTTCATTCGTGAATTTTACGAAATCACTCTCGCGCACGTGCGTGCCGACGTGCAATGCGTGATTTGCGCACACGAATGGAGGGGAGGACTATCACGTGATTATGTGTCAGAAGTTAAATCGGTGCCTCACAAGGGGGGAGGGCGGGGTACGTACGCCGATCCCTTCGAGCGCGATAACTCGAAAAAGGGGGTGATTTTCGCGCGCGTGTCGTTCCCGCTTCCTGTCGCCTCGCTCCTGTTGTTGCCCCCCTTTTACCAGACGCGTAACCGTTTCTCTTCGCCCGTAACTTCACGTACATACATACATATACACGCACTTGGTCGCTCCGAGCCATGGCGGGCGTATGTACGCATGCGTGGCAACGCGTGGCAGGTGCGCACGTGACGCAGCACGCCGCGAAACGTTCAATTTATTATTAACCCTTTCACCACGGAAATATTTCCTCTAACGTTTACCGTTACTTCAAAAGTACGCGCGCGAGTCACGCTCAAAATTTTCGCACGCCGCGTCTTCTTTAATTAATCGGCGTTAACTACATTTTTGGAACTTGAATTGAGAGAAATTAATTTCCTCTTGGATCTCTTTCTTCGATCACTCTGCCGAATTCGCGTTCTTTCTCTTTCCCGAAAATTGTTGAACTGAATCGCATATCTTGTGAAAACGAATGTGATTCGAAAATCATTGAAATCTAATCAAGACGTAACCTGATTCAAATCACTTACAATAAAAAAAAAATGGGATAAATTACGCGATAAACAAAAGAAACAAAACAATTTTCTCACGTCAACGGTGTTTTTTTAAGCATCATTGTCTAATTAAAAAGATAAGATATACAAAACGACGTTGATCACTTTCGGTTTGACATAACGTCATGTTGTTTTCTGTTTTTTTTCAGGGTACTTTCTCGCTAATAGTGGAAGCTTATCACGACGCCGACAACAGCACCCACCAGTCAGCCGGTAAGCACGCAACCTTTTTCTCTCTTACTCTTTAGGTTTTTTGAGATTGCGTATCGTCGCGTCGGGCACGAGAGTGCACGCGCGCACGCACGTACGCTCTCGTAAAAAAAAAAAAAAAAAAAAAAAAGTGGGATGACGAAGGATTATCGTGAAGTCCTGGAGACGCGCCCACACGCTCCGCGTCGTCGGAGACGCGAGGGGGAGGCAGGAAGGTCGTCCCGGTTTGGGGGCATGTGCGGTCCAGCTGGCCCGTGAGAGAGAGACACGATGTCTCGTGCAACGCGGAGACCAGTCAAGAGGGCACTTCCGGTCTCCGGGCATGACACACACCAGAAACATTGCAGCCTTCGGGCGCCCTCTCTTCCTTCTCGACTACCTTGATCCTTATCCGTTTAAAGTTCCCTGAGAACTGAGACGAAAACGCGAGGTTAAGTGGATCGATTTTCGTCGGCGTCGTTATTATATCGTCTTAATTCTTCGAGTTGTGACCGGGGACCAAAATATTTATTCGGTAATTTTAACGAAATGAGCTTTTAATTATTTCAATAAATTTTTGTCTTATGTAAATTACTTAATGATTAATAATTTCACGCGCGTAGAGTAGGTTCTGCAAGTTTACCGAGTTTACGGTAAACGCGCTCCTCCCCCTGAGATTGCGGGTGGTGTCGCAGGAACGCGTAGGTCGGTAAATCTTACACGAAGCCGGTTGTTGTGCCGCGAACAATCGTCGCGTTTTCATTGTTCTATTCAGCCTCTATTTCCGCCGGCCGTTCCTCGTTTGTAACCGCGTTATTATTGCAACGTCTCCGTTGTGTCATAGCGTTATGCCAGGAGCAACGAGAGAGAGAGAGAGAGAGAGAAAAGCAAGTGAGAGAGCAAGGAGAAGAGAGAAAGAGACGGATACCGGGCGACAGTGGGCCGTGGTGACGACGACACTAGTGTTTCCTTCCTGTGTAACCGTAGCACACCCATCTTCCATCGACAGTAACCCGACACCGAGTATATACGGGCTCCCGACACGCCTATCCTAACTTTACCAACAATTGTTCTCGAATTTAATGCGAACGCTTGATTTTCGGAAAAATTGAAATCTCTAGAATTTGACATTAAAAAAAAAAAAAAAACAAAAAACAACCTAAAAATTTCTGGTCGCTGGATTTCATTTTTTTCTCATCCTGATGTGAAAAGAGATTACTAAAGGAGATTATTCGAATTTTTTCGAGTCTCTTTATGAGAGTCCCGGACGCGCGAGTACAATGGCGCGGCGCTACATTCCCTTTCGACACAGATAGATCGACGAAATTGATAAATTCCAGAAACGGAAAGAGAAAAATCGCTAAATTTCTTTGACGTTTAATTGATCCAATCTTCATTTGTCTTCCCGGTCTCTGTGATGATGAAGGATAAAAAAATATATATTCCACGTCCGTCTCATCGGACGAATGTGTAATATGCGCGCGTGTATATATACGGTTGGTTTTCTCTGTACGCGCTCGCGCGCAGGTAGCACGCGCATCCGCCTCGCTCGGTTCACTCTCGAGACCGGCTCGAAAACGGGGTAAGAAGAGCGAGACCGCTTAATTTCTTCCTCGAGAGAAGTTCCCTCGCGGGGAAGTACCGGGGGCCCCCAGTAGTAATTAGAATCGACCGACGGGAGAGAGCGGAAGCTGCGTACGCGCGTGCCGTCATGCGTGTCACACGTACGTACATATGCGTGTACGTACGTACACACGCACGAAGCGACGCGCGGTTGCGCTCCTGGCATCACCTATGCCGTCGCCGTCGTCAATTAACCGAATTTAACTGTTTCGGCGCCGTACGGTGGGGGGATACACTTGCGCCGATCATATTCGCGCGCGCGCGCGCGCATTGCGCACATTCGCCGTTATATTCATCGTTCGCGTCCCATCGCGTCTTTCTTTCGCGCTTTCGCCGGACGAGGAAATGACTGCCATTTTTACGGAACAAGTGTATACACGAGGGAGCTCTCATGAAACTGATTCACGCTCGGCTTGTTGGAAACGCTCATGTTTAACGCAAATCCTGTTGGATGGGGATTTAACTCTTTTTTTCCGTCTTACGTCACACGGAGACTTCAACGTTCTCGCGAGTGCAACTTGGAATCGCGCATTGTCATTAATTACAATTTAAATAGTTTTTGTTAAAGTTTTTTTTTTATAAATATAGTGAGTATACAATGGATGTTATAAATGTATCGGAAACATTTTTTCTCTCTCCCTCTCTCTCATGATATTAAAAAGGAGATAATGCAATATCTCATGTAATTAATTACACACAAGTACCGCACGTGTACACAAGTTTCTCGTCGCTAATAAAACTTGGACGTTGACACGAAGATGATCAAGCTAATTTCTCGCCACGCCGCTCTGTATATTTGGCTACGTCGAACGTTTGGCTGCGTTCTCTCGCCGGTGTTCGTACGCGGATGATGTACACGTCAAAATAAATGAAGATTCGACGACGCGTGCGTGCGTGCGTGCGTGCGTGCGTGCGGCTTATAAAAAGAAGCGAAGAGCGTATCTCATCGCGATTCTGCGACGCGCGTCGCGTCGTTTGGTTCCATTTTTTTCAGGATATACATCCTGTCGTGTGTGTGAAAACAATATTGTATTCTGATCTCTCTCGGCGACTTCGGGGCGTCGGGCCTCGAAAGAGTGTTTAATACTCGCGTTATACTGCAAGCGCGCCGACGCGAGAGAACGGTCTTCTTCTGGTCTCTGGATTTTATCGCCGCTGCTTGCTGCTTTGCCGCATCTCTCGGCGTCTGCGATTCTTTTCGTAGCGCGCGGATGTTGCGTGAAATCGTTTCGACGGCGCGTCGAAAATCGTTGCCCCATCGTCGGTTTTTCTCTCGTAGTCCGTTTTTTTTTTTTTTGTTTTTTTTGTTTTTTTTTACGTCGCGTATCGAACGTTGACAATTATCGCACGAAAGCAGCGAGTGCCTTGACAAATTCTTCGTAATCTGATCTTTGATTTACAAAGAGAGAAACTATTTCTCAATTTTTCTCTCTCTCTCTCTAAAAAAAAAAGAGTTTAACGTGAACGGTCGTCGTCATTCGGCTCGAAAATGGTTTGCTTTGTGATTCACGCGGATATTTCCTAAGGTTTTAAAAAACTTCAACAAATCTGCGAAGCAAAAAAAAACGCACATGATATTTATTTAGCAATTAATCCTCGCAGAGAGAGAAAAAACAAAGAAAGAGATATCTAGTTAACACACACTGTGCGAACACGTCGGCGGATTAATTAACGGACGGGATGAGAGGAGATTTAATATACGCGCGCGACAATATCCACGGAGCACATCTGAAAACGTGTTGTGTCCGGGATACACACCTTAACCTCTCTTACGGGCTTTTTATCGCGGACACGCTGCCGCTTACATTGTGCTCCGTCTACCGTGTTGCTCCGGGCACAATATAATACCCACAACGCACCGGCGAAACGAGCCCTTTATTGCCGCGTTGCTCGGATGCTGCTTCCTTTCTCAGGCAAACACCACCACCACCCCCCCTCCGTCTCTTCTAAACCCCGCTCTCTCCGCCCCCGCCGTTCTGCCGTTCTCGTCTCTCCTTCCCTTTCGGTCCCTCTTCCTCCTTCGAAGCCGCCCACCGACATAAAATGCTGGTGCGTTGCGTTACGTTGCGTTGCGTTATATTGCGTATACGTGCCACGCCGGTGCACGCGTCGCGCCGCTGCACCTGCGGCGCTAATGCTGTCGCAGTTGCATTCACTTCGTCGCGTGTCGCGAGAATTTCGTGGGAGAATCCGCTCCGCTAATTACGGGTGCTGCTGATCGCGACTCTCCATCTCAAGGACGTCGTAAAGAAGAAAAAAAAAAAAGAAAGAAACAAGTTTTTTCTATTAAATCGCGGTCGATTCTTTCAATTTTCTTTCCCTGTCACTCTGCGATTTAATATCGATCGTTATTATTTCAAGGAACTGTAATTTTAAACGTCATATTGTTTACGTGAATTAAAAATAAAAGACTTTAAATAAATATCGGGCGATTTTTTAAAGTCCTCTTTTTTTATTTTCGATCTAATTTTACTCCCATCGATGCGTTGTTATTTATAAATACCGGAGCGTAGCGAAAGGTGATGATGCGCCCGAACGATTACACGTGTCGGCGAAGAAGATGTATGCGCCTCGCGACTGACCGACCGACCGATCGATCGATCGATCTCTCATATGTCGAGCCGGACGGCGCGCGAAGTGCCATTATAACACACGCGAACCAGTTTCCTTTGTCGCGCTAATGACGACGCCTCGCGCGACGGTTGTTGCTCGTTTTGGTGAGACCGATCGGATTACCACTCTTCCTTTCCTTCATTCATCCGTCAGCGGTACACGGACGAGAGACGGAGAAAGAGGAGAAGGGTCTCTCTCTCTTTTCTCGCCGCCGTTGCTTCGCTCGCGGTGAACCGTCGTCCCCACAGCGCTATTACGAAAGCATATACGCGTTATGGGATAACACACGTCTGGGTAAGGTATTAAAGAAGATCGCGATACCCAGCCGAGATGTACTGTTAAGTGTCTCCTTAACGTGCGAGCATTCAGGAAAGCGTTGTACATACGTTCCCATAATTCGTAGCCGCTGTCGGCTCGTTAACTCGCGGAATTAACGATACATCGACATATATATATATCGGAGGAAAATGATCTCAAATATTTTTAGAAAGATTTTATCACGTCCAAAAAAACATTAGTAACGTATCTGCGTTTTAAATCATTCGAACAATACTAAAAAGTTCTTGTAATATGTAACAAGCCACACAAAAAACAAAAATCTCATTAGATGTTCATTGGATGTAGATGATATTTAGTAGATGTGTAAAGGAGATTTTGTGTTCTGTGTAAGAAGCGGATGCATTTTCACAATGTTTTCCGATTTACAATTTGGAAGATGGAAAATTTCGTTTGAACAATCCGGAAACAAATTTTTCGAAAATTTCGAGCGAACAATGTTTGTCAAAAAGTCTAATCACAGAATCTAATCTAAACAATTGCGACAAGGTTTTTATTTATATAAACGCGCTGTGTCCTCGCGTAATAATATTGTTGCATTTAAATGCAACTCGGTGACTTTCTGTGTGTGTCTCGAGTGTCTCTCTATCTTCTTATTCCCAATTGATACGATGGCACGTTTAGCTCTCGGCGATGCGTATATACACACATACACACGCGCGCGCGCGCGCGCGTATGTGTAACGCGCACACGTGGAGCGAAAGGAACTCCACCAGTGGTCGGTGGCTCCACACGCGGCTTACGTCATCGTCGATTGTCAACCGCTTTTTCCCGGGCCGGTCGGTCTCTCCTTCTCTCTTCCTCACGCAAATGGGACACACCGTTGCGACCCGCTCGCTGCACATCGCCCGACGCACTCGGGAGAGCGCACCTGCCTCCTTTCGCATGATAATAACGACGGCGATAATTGGCCGTCTTCTCTCTCTGCGCGCGTTCCACGTGTCAACCGCCGCGCCGGGCTAAGATCGCGTTTTACTTCGCGCGATTCGAGAGAAATCAATGAGATACGAACGGCAGCTTTTGACCCACTTTTTAACCAAAGTATAAGAAAACTTGCAATCCCTCTCTCCCTCTCTCACAGAACGCTCTGTCGAGATAACCGAAGTTTCAAATTAATTTCTGAGAGATTTTTTATCAGAGACATAAATTGTTCCACATTGTATTTTTAATTACGAAGAAAGTTCGCGGAAAAATCTCTTCTCTTGTAAAAGTCTACTCTTCGGAGTAATTACTTTTCTCGCGTGAAACAAATGGATTATGAAATTTGTTTTTGTTTTTTTTTTTTAAAGAATTGAAACTTGTACGCATTACATCACAGAGTCGCGAGAAGGTTTGCGTGACTGTTCTCGTTTATCGAGCCACACCGCGAGCCGAAGCCTGTTAAATTTCAGCGGAAGCGTGGGGGCCGGCAGCGTTTCGGAAGTTAATCCGCCGTGTTCGGGTTTTACGATCCATTTCGCTAAATAATCGACGCGTCATTTTTTCTCGAGAAACAACGGTGTTGTCGGAAAGCCGCGTGGAAGCTACGCCTCTGGCTGTTTGCCAGTTCTCTTTCTCTCTCTCTCTTTCTTTTTTTCTTTTCTTTCTTGAATTCTATCCTCCTTTGGCAACCGCTTGTTTCTGAATGAACAATAGAAAATGTCTGCTACGCGCGTCGGCGCTTCGCGTCGTTAATGAATACCTTGAATCGGTCTGGCCTCGAGCACGCCGGGTGTTTACCGGGACTTGTACCGTGGTCAAGTAGAAACAAGCGGACGGCGATCTTTCTCTCTTTCTCTCGCAGGCAGTAACTTGAACGTCCTGATACGCGTCCGGGGGAAACAGCAGCAGGAAGTTGTAACTTCGCCTGATACACGCGCCGGTAGCGCGCAACGTATAAAACTGCTTTCCGCGAGCTGATGTAAATGCGCGGATTAATTTTTGCGCGCATCTCTTCGCGCGAACATTGTTTACTTTCTTATTAGAGCGTCAATCTAAACTTACGCAGGAGATGCGCTTCGCGATCGGACACGTGAAATTGCAATCTTCGACATCCGTCAGGGATTTATGTACATAAAACATATTAGCTTGTATATCTCTCTAACTTAATTGGGATTAAACTTCATTATCCTTTAATTAACGAGGTACAGCGCGCCGGTAAGAAAGAAAAAAAAAAAAGTAATGAAGAACATTTTGCACACAACCTACAAAGTAGCGGAGTAAACGCGGAACTGGAACATTTATATTTGTGGCGCCTTTTACGAATTAATTATATCACTTGTTTCCTTGTGGAGATACGATCTATCTTGCCCGGATCTTTTTTTGCAAATCAATTCATTCTCGATGAACAATGCACTCGACGCATTTAGAACGCGCGAAGTTAGCAGGATCAAACCGCGCTTCCCGCTCGTAGCGTGCGAAGATCGATGTTTTCGGAACTCGTAACAGCATCACCTGGGAAGATAGCCCAGTAAGTCGTTTTCTTCTCTCTCTCTCTCTCTCTCTCTTTCTTTCTCTCTTTTTTCTCTTTCTCTCTCTCTCTTTTCCTCTCTCTCTCCGTTCGATGTACATAGACGCATCTTTTCTTTCTTCTACTCGACTCCCGTTTCGCCGACAGCGAAACGCCACTTCCCTTCTAGGAAGAGAGGCTGGTCTGGCTTCCTCCTTAAGTATCCCCGGACACGCCATCGGCGAAAACCTTCGTCCTTTTGTTCCTCCTCGGTCTTTCGTTTCTTCGCTCTTCATTCACTCTTCCTTCCACGGACGGTGCGCGATACACACAGTATCGAACATATCGACAGTGGCGTGCGATCGAAGGGTGCTCTTTTCTTACAAAATCGAGCGTCGTCGATGTGTGTCTCGTGAGTTTTTTTAAACTTTTATATTTTGATGGAATTTTATTTTTTTTTAATGTATATTTATTTTACTTGCATCTCTATTTATTTTATATACATTTTGTTAAAATCATTTATTTAATTAAAATTTCATATCTCGGAGTATAATTACGAGATAACACAGACGCAACAATCGTGGGAAGTTTGCAAGTTACTTGTCTGTCGTTACCGATCTCTCGTCATTCAACGCTGATAATAACTCGCGAGCGATAGTTTCTCAAATGTAGTCTCAGTCAGTGCGCACGTATCGTTCGATTGGTGGTACACACACCGGCTTCACGGCTACGCTACTGACCTTAACTGCACGCGATAGACCGCAGCGAGCGAATCGTAACCGATACGCTACCGGTCCGGTTCGATTCGGCGAGGAAGGCTCAGACACAGCACCGCGAGTGTGCGCTGCGCAACACTCGAAAATCGGTGCCGTGCGATGTTTTTCGGTAGGGCACCTGAACGCGCGCGAAGAACCCGTAGTATATACCTACCCGAAATCCTAATCTGCCGCGCGCGGAGCTATTACGATAATGCGGCCCCGGTAGGAAGGAAGGAAGGCGCCCTCCGTTTCGGCTCGTTCGTTTACACGAAAAACCACGGTTAAAAAGACAGTCAAGAGGACGAAGACGGAGAGAGAGAGAGAGAGAGAGAGAGAGAGAGAGAGGGAGAGAGGGAGAGAGGGAGAGGAAAGAAAAGAGGGAGGAAGAAAGGAAGGACGCTTCTTTCCCAGAGCCGCAACGTGGTGTACGCTTACTCTCTTTGTGCCGGATGCGTGCCGCCGACAGAGTAGCAATAGCGGACGAACGTCCGGTCGGTTCTCTCTCTCTCTCTCTTTTTTCTCTGTCTCTCTCTCCCTCCTCTCACTCTATCCCTCTCTCTCTCTCTTACTCTCGGAGGCCGATGCACTTCGATCGCATCATTGGTCGCAGCGATGCGCCTCGTTCGCTCTGCCCCAGTGTTAGACGTTTACCTAATTACTTTCTCGCGCCTTATTGTAGCCCAACGCACCGTTAATTCGACAACCAGCGCGATATTCCAACCGATCTACGATAATCACGCGTTAATTATGCGATCTCTTAATTTCTTTAAAGTCAATATAAAAGTATCTTAAAATTTATCGAGCGTAATGAGACGTAAATAAATAAATATATTTTGATTCGACGTGAAATCGTTCGAATTACAATTGCAGTTTTGTGATTTTTGTTTTTTCAGAAAAAGTTCTCATCACCCGACTGACCACTCAGAAGTGGCTGGACGTCGGGCCGGAGTGGACCGTGGACGAGCACAGAAGCGCACACTCGCAGATGGAGTACGAGTACAGGGTGACGTGCGTGGCGCATTATTACGGCAAGGGTTGCGAGGACCTGTGCCGGCCGAGGGACGACAATTTCGGTCACTACAGCTGCAGCCCCGCGGGCGAGCGAGTCTGTCTCTCCGGCTGGAAGGGCGACTACTGCAACACCCGTAAGTCACACACTGCCTTCTCGCATTCCGGTCCTCCGGATGATTACGCCATATACTTCGCTTAGTGGTTAAGCGCGATACGCGTATCCCATCACGACTGTACACGCGCTCCGAACACCAGTTTCTCTCGTAGTCTTCGCGATATTCCAAGTGTAGTATAAGTTTTGGAATTTTTTTAACAAATTAATTATAAGACTTTCTCGAGTTGAAACGAATTTTAATTAGAACAAAATTGCTAATATGTTGTTGCAAAATTAAACAATAAAACAAAACTATTAGAAACTATAATTTAAATTAATTACAATATTTTAATTGCAACTTACTTGTTAGCCGCGCATCTACCGATTAATTCATAAATTAAAGCAAAACTCTCTCTCTCTCTCTTATAAAACAATAATATAATTTTAAATACTACGATTTATTTTTTAAAGACACACAACTGTGCGAAATATTTAATTCGATTGGCAAAATACGATTGTTTAATAAAATCCGATGATTTTTTGATTCCGCGAAACGCTCGCGCGTTATTACCAGACACCCTTGATTCCTATCAGAACGTCGAATATGCACGCTACCACGATATAACGTTCCTCTCTCGTATATCCTCGCGCGTTTCTCTCGCTCCGCTCGCTCCTTGAAAGCCGGGCTTCTACCGCGAAGTAAGGAGAGGCCCGGTGCAGTCCTGGACGCGCGCTGCAGCGCCCGAGACCCGAAGCGTGCGGCAGCTTCCCACGCTTGGCTCGCGCGTGTGCGCGAATATCTCCTTTCTCCCTTCTTCGCCGCCACCGTCGCGCGAGTTCTCCTTCTCTCTTGCCTGTCCCTCGCGTTCCGGCTGCAGCATCCCTCTCCTTTTCACTCTCGCGTACCTGCTTGCGAGAGACCCGGCCGAGAGAACTAATCCGTGTGCACGTGTAATGATTCGTGATTGTGTGCGTGAAACGAGACGAGGAGGCGAAATCTGTCTTCGTGTGTGGCTCTCTCTTTCTCTTTCTCTCCTCTTTTCTCTCTTCTTTCCTCTCGTTTTTCGTTCTCTCGCTCCGTCCCGCTGCGTCCCGACTCGGTCTCGAAACTCCGTGCGAGACAGGCCGGAGATGTCTGTTGCTTCGGAGGAGTCGAAGCTTCTCTTCTGGTACGTACAGGTACCGTATCTGCAGCTGGTGTTCCCAACCGCGTATACCTGTACGCACAAAGGTGGTTTTATTCACCTTCTTCTCTCCTCTTCTTTCCCTCTTTCTCTCGTTTCTTTTTTCGATTCTTCGCAAAACCGGAGATGATTGTATCGAATTGTTCCGAGAGAGGAGAGGACAAAGGTTGGGTCATCGGTGTCATCTCTTGACGGAAGCGCTAATAGTTTTTTTTTTTTTTTTTTGTGTGTGTGGGAAAAAATACGAGACATTCTAGACATTTATGTCGTGTAATTTGTCGATCATTTTTCATTCGTCGAATCTTCGGAAATCTTAAACGTGTAAAAAAATTTTTGCGACAACAAGTATAGAATTTCGCAAGCGAATTTTTTACACAAAAAAATGAACACCGTAACCCCGTCGGTTTTTGCGCGTGTCTTTTTTTGTGTGCATTTGCGAAATATTAACGAAATATTTTGTGTGTAATTGTTACGTAATATTGTTTTATGCAAAACGCCGTATTAATTCCGCGTCTATTCCTCGAGGTTCTCGCTTTCCCACGAACTTTCCTCGCCTCGCCAATTCTCGGATCCCGAATTCCAGACTTTCTCGATTCCGATCGAAGTGAGCGATCGATCGTAGGCGAAGTCTCCCCGTGTGTGGGGCCCTGTCGTCCCCCCCCCTCTCCCTCCCCCGGGTCGTTGCACCCGACGCCGACGACTCGCGGCCGCCGCGATCGACAAAGTTCGCGCGTCGATTACTAATGGATTACTTGTTCTCCATTTCGTGGATATTCTGCTCTATCATTCGAGGAATCTTTTGTTCGAGCGGCTTTCAGGAAGTCGGGTGTATCGCGCTAGATGCCGAAACAATCGGATTTATTGATAAAAGTTCGTTCAATTTTTTTTTTATTAAAAAATTTTATCACAAGAATTATTAACATCTTAATTTGGTATATTCGATGTAAAATGTTGTTTATCTTACACGAGCATTGTGTTACGGTTTGTCCCGATTTGTTCTTGTAGCTCTTTCGAGAGATCAGATCGAGAAAAAAAAAAGATCGATTTTGAAACGCGTTTCCCAGACCAACGTGACGCAAAAAAAAAAAAAAACATCCGATTGTCCGCTACCGCAATGTTCCATACGATTATGCACAGCCTATAATGAGAAGTGGCAAAATCGCTGTCGCGCTCTCGCTCGATTGACGGTCGAGCCGCAAAACGTCGAGGGAAACACGACGATTTAAATCACGAGCGGCGCGGACTCTCCTTCGGAACGAGTCTCGCGAAAACACAAAAGGACTTTCACTTCTTCGGAATCTATTGAGGCAAGATATCTCGCGCTCGGCTGCATCACGCACACACTTCCGCGTTCGAACTCCCTGAATTTTAGTGTCAATTTTCTCTCGTACAATTTCTACGCAACTCTCGTTACGTATTTTTTTTTTTTTCCTCATCCTGTCTCATAATATGATTTATTTTCTTATCACTTTGTTTTATTGATAATTTATTTTATTAATTGTCAATCCTTTTTCCCCGCATCATCATCAATCATCCACCGAGACACACTTTTTCCCGCCTAGAAAATAATCATCGAGCACATCCTGTGCAGTTCGTTTTATGATCGAAGGGTTAACTTCCCTTTCTCTCTCTCTCTCTTTCTCGCTCGTTAACCCCGTGGTGAGAGAGACGATTAGTTTTGAGAATAGGCGGGCGCGCCGCAGGCAGTCGGGAACGCTTTCGGGGGTGCAACAGCGTTATATAGGGGTTGCTGGCGGGTGCATAGGAAGAGAGAGCAGCTGCATACAAGTCGGGCCTCTCTTTCGGCCCGGAACCTGACAGCTGCAAGATCGGCGCTTTAACTAACAGCTGCGTCAGAGTTGTGTTCCAGTTCACTACCACCAACCCTGCTTATATAGTCTATCTTTTCCCTTCCTGATTAGTCCATCCTCTCTTCTATCCTCGTCTTCTTGTTCTCCAATTTTTTTTAACGTCATGATAGAGTTTTATCTCACCGAATGGAGAGGTTTCCCAAAACTTTGCTTTTTTGTCGCGTAGCTTTTCTTCTTTTTATTTTTCGTTCTACCTGCGCTCCCGGAATTTGTCCGCTTTGGACGAAAATCGGATTCGGAAATCGGCTATTATTTGGAAAAGAAAAGAATCAAAAGTTATTGGTCATGTCGAGGTAAAAGGGATTTTGGGTTGACTCCGTAAAAAAGCAAAATCTAGCAAATAATAGAAAACCATTAGGTACCACTTGGGCGTAAAAAGATCGGTGACTTCCTCAACGCTATTGTAATTGACCTCAGAAACAGGTGAACAATTCAAAAGTGGAGGTGAAATTCCGGGTCTCATTGTTAACTCAATCCTGCGGTCCTTCTAGCGCCAATCACGTCGGCTGTATTTTAAGCTAATCGTTCGTGCTGTGAGAGATACATTCATGTTGTGAGAGATACATTCATGTTAGAGCGGATATCGTAAAAATGAATGAAAAAGAGTGATTAGAAATAAATAGTCTGCTAGGAAATAGAATGCACTAGAATGATGTCCTCAGGGTCACTGAATCATTCATCTGCGACGGCGGTTCGAAACGGAAATTCATTTAGCAGTCAAGATATATTGGTTGCGGAAACCCCGGCGAGTTTGAAGTGCAACATCTACTTACGACCGTGCGTCTATTTCTTTCATTCTTTTTTTTTTTTTTTATTATTTTTTTTTTTTTTATTTGCTCGAGGTCAAGCGTTTAAAGAAAACCGAGGTGAGGTTTCGTGGAAGTTGCCTAGGTTCATTGAGAATGTCACTCGCGTGTGCACGTTAAGTCACCTGCTTCGAATACCGTACTCCGATATGATTCTCAACATATTCCACCATATTTGTTTCTGTTTTTTTTTTTTTTTATTCTCGTACTGTTATCAGCTGTACTTTTTTATTCTTTGATTTTTTATTGAATGTTGTTTCTTTTACCGTGTAATAAAATTTATAAAGTTTTTTATTTGAAATTTACTCGGAAGAATCTGAAAAAAGGCAGCATCCTGAAATTTTCCAAACATTTTTACAAATTTGATGATCAACGTGACAAAGTAATTTATTATTATGTAATAAAATGCAATTGTGTGATGGATGTTAATTAGGTCACATCGATTGCGAATAAAAATGAAAATTGAGTTGGTTGATACGACCTAATTAATAAACTTCAATTGTTCAGTTGAAATTGCGTTAAAATATATGAGCAGTTAATTATTATATTACTTCATTGTTATAACAACCTGACCTAGTAATCAGCTTCAATCTATATTTATGTTTTATAACTACAATTTACAGTACAGTTTTGTAAAAAAAATTAATTAGTTATGTTTTATAAAAAAAATTAATAATTTACCGTTGCAAAGATATTGAATGGGAAGATGTGTCGATATTCCATCGGATGTTTTGAATGACGCTCGATTCGAGGAACGCACGATCATCAAAGTATCGCGCCGAGTGAAGTGCAAGGGGGGGATCTTCGATGTCTTCTTTTCGGCTCTTCTAGGAACTCTCTTCGTTCGATACGAAGATTCGGTGTTTTGCGAGAGAAAGAAAGAGAGAGAGAGAGAGAGAGAGAGAGAGAGAGAGAGAGAGAAAGAATGACAGAAAATCGGAGAGAAATAAAGAGAACAATCGGGGCGGCGGATTTATGGCCCACCTCGTGCGGATTTATCTCGAAAAATCGCGGCGAATCGGCCGTAAATAATCCTCGAAGGGTAAGATTTGTCGCGGCTTACGAGATTTGTTTAGTCATCCGCGCGCCTCCTCTTCGAGACGAGGGTTCTTCCATTTCTCCTTTCGTCTCCGGCAACGGTATACAGAGAAGAGATGATACAGAAGAGCCGAGTGAGGAGAGAGATAGATGCACGCGGGAGGAATCGTGGAATCTCTGCGATTCGGTCGTTCGTCGACGATACACCGACCGAGGGGGGAAGAGACCGGTAGAAGAGGGAGACGAGTGTAGGGGGGTCGAGGGGGGTCTTGTATCTCTTCGCTCTCCGCTCTATAAATACCATACTCCTTAACGCGATGCCGCCGCGCCGAAGTCCGTCCGGGGCGAGAGCAAGAGAGGCCGGGCCGTTGCGCTCGGTGCCAAGGTCACGAGGCCCTTGCTGCTGGCCCTGCTGTTCTCGCCGGCCGGCCGGCCGGCCTCGTCGTGCAGCATCGGAAACGTTGAACCGCGTCGCCCTCAACCCCTTCATTCAACCGGCATCGGCGCGCCGGGATTCCTCTCTCGGCTTCTACCAGCGCGGTGTTCCCAAGCACTTCGTCTCGGTCAGACGGTTGCTTTTATCAGCACTTTTCTGGCGGGGCTATCTGGCTAGCTGGTAAAGTTGAACGACACACACCGATGATCCTTTCGACAAGTTGTTGTTAATTGCAATAAACATAAAGTAAGAATAATAAAAAAAAAGAGCAACACACGTATTCGTAAAAATATGTCAAAAAATTGGAAAAAAAATTTGAATTATACAAGTAAAAAAAAAAAAAAAAACTTCCGCGCAAGTGCGAAAGTGAGTAAAAACGTGGCAGAGATCGCGGAAGAGGTGGGCGGTAAGGTGACGAGAAAGGAATTTTCAAACGGGCAAGCGTCGATTCCTCGCATGCTTGCACGCGGCTTCAGATCGCAAGGGTAATGAAATTGTGTCACGTGTACATCGTTCGCGATGTCCAGTCCGCAAATATCTCGGCGCTCTCGGCCGCAGTTGGCCGGCAGCCATATGAGTTAGTTTTCCGCGGTGTGTGTACGGGAAGAAGAATCGGTCGATCGGTTACCGGCACCGATTTGAAGAAGTAAACGTCGCGAATATATATATATATACATATTCATTTCTCTTTTTTCAAGTGGCCCGCATTCGGGGAGGTTCTCGTTAAACGCGCGCACGCTCTCTCCCCTTCCGAATTCGAGCGAGTTGTTTTTTTTATTTGCGGCGCTTCTGTGATAAGAGAGTCGCGTATCTTTCGTACAGTGCCACCTGTGAACGTGTTCTCTCCATTTCCTGTTTCCATTAGTGTTATCAGTATTAATTATCATTATTGTTATATATTTCTAGATAAAAACAATAAATGGGTTAGATTAGGTTGAGAAAAGTATCGTCCCCCACGAAGTTTATCAAAAACCTCACGCGAGGAAGAACAGAAAGAACGTATGGGCAAATGAGTAAAATACTTTAGGATTTGTATGTAAGAATTGAAATATAATTAAAAAAAAAAAAATTCATTTATTATGTAAATGGTTTTAATCTCGATAGTTTTTCCTAAAATGTTTTTCTACAGAGATAGAAAACCAAATATTGCGTCCTAAAATGCACAGACGGACTACCGTGCGCGCGTAAAGACAATCTAATTGCGTAAATTTTATCAATCTCGTGAGTTTCTTCCTAAAATTAAGTTTTTTTCTACAAAAATAAAGAAACAAAGGAATTGCGTTTTAAAATATACACGTATAAGAGACGGACTACCGTACGCGCGTACATACTACTACATATATATATATATATATATGTGCATGCATCGGATGTATCGTACCGCTCGTGCAGTCGTGAGGGACGCGATCGACCTCTCGCCGAGAGTTGCCTTAACCTCTTGGATTTTTTCTTACTCATTTCAGCCCGCTGCCTGCCCGGATGCGACGAACAGCACGGACACTGCAATCGACCCAACGAATGCATGTGAGTATATATATGTGTATATATACATATTATACATACATACGTATATAAATATATGTGTGTATGCACTTCGCGCTAATACTTGCGCGCACCTTGTCTACGTGTCGCGTCGTGTGTATGTGTGCGCGCGTTGCTGCGCGGTGCCCCATACACAACCGCCAACTAAATGCCTGGGCCCCGACACGGTGCATCCACTCTTTCTATACGCGCCGCTGTAACGTATGCATGTGCGCGATAATAATTACGCGCATACCTCTATCCGTAAATTATTGTTCGACGCGTGCGTTTCACGAAAAAGCATAATATTCCATAGACGGAGATAGAAATTCATCACACTAGTCTCGGTAAAAAAAAAAATTGTTCACACTTGTTACTTTCTGCAAGAAATTTGAAATGTTTTTTAATTTGGCAAATTTGTTACGCGTATTTAAATATAATTGTTCAAATTATGCCCCGTGCTAATAAAAATCCTGACTTCGAATGGTTAAATTTTAATCTTTTGATATCAGTAAGCGCAAAGTGTTTCGTATTGAAAAGTGGAACGTTAGAAAGCGTATTACTGCGAGAGTGCATGAAAATAATATCTCATTTTGTAACTTTGATTTCGAATCGGCGGAGTTTTAATTACCGATTCTACTTGTGGAACGTGAAAAGACACTCGCACGCCGCCGCGCGATTATCATCATCATCATCATCATCATCCTTTAAGAAGAAACCCCGCAAACGGCGCCGCGCATACATCCGCGACAATATTGCAAGAGTACACACCGAGTTGTGTAAAATAATCATGCATATTTTCTTTCGCGCAACGTTTTTACGAGTGTGTTGTTGCGCGGCATACTCGCGCGAGGAAGCGAAGTGGAATTCGAGGCTCTTCTCGTTTAACGAGGCAGTTCCTGAGGTGCCAATCGTTCCTGCCCTTTCCTCCCTCTTCGGCTCGCACTTTCCCCCCTTCCACTTTCTTCTCGTTCCTTTTTCTTCTGTTTTACGATTTTTCCGTCTTTGTCTCCTTTCGCGCCAACGCGCCCGTCGGTGTCGTTGAACTTTCCGATTTGTGTAATTCGCGAAATTCCGGAATCCCCTCGAGATTTTAATTCACGTCGTGAATTTCCGCGCTCGATAGACGAGGAGTTTAACATGCCGCGTGTAACTATCAGAATTTAACCCCTTGCCTCTTCCTCAATATAACAAATACATTATATAACGGTATTTCAAAAAGTGTAATTTTCCCATCGCGGTCTCTAATGAATTCGCATGTTTAATCTTGAAAACCTCGTAGGAGGCTGTGATTTAATATCATGTTTTGTGAAGTTTGTGGGTCACCCGTTGTGCGCGGTTAGACCAACTTGTGAAGTATACGAGAAGAACACGGAATGTAAGTTAAGTAATACGGTGGTGGTGATTCATCTAATTCGCGCGAATGCATCGCGAATGTCACGCGTTTCGTGCCGCGCGTCCGTCGTCGCGTCGTCGCGCCGGCGGCACGTCGTCGTCGGTCGGTCGGGCGAGCTTGAATCTCGGCCTGTGGCGGTCGGCATTAACTCGGGGTTTGGAGTTAACTCGATCATTTAATTACTCTCTACGACCGAGGTTAATTGTCCCGTTAGCCGTTCGCCGCCACGAGTTCCCCGCGGTCGTGCTTTTATCTCTTCAATCTCGCGACTTTTCAAATCAATTCGAGATCTTGTAGAATCGCGTTTTATTATCATTTTCTCGAAAGAGATTTTTCGCGCACGAATGTGAAACTCTCTCTCTGGTGATTATTCATTCGCGAATATTTTCGAGATTAATTGTCAACAGTGTGTTAATTCCCTCGTTCTCTTTTTGTATACTCGAATAAAACAATCCAATTTCTTTTTATTCTTCTCGTTTTCTTTCTTCATCTTCGAGTCGTCTATCTCCGAGGAGAGGAGGTTTCGTTTCGAGCATCGACCCCGTTGAAATTGGTGCCGTTGTGCGAGCTTCAAAGTTGCACGATTGTGAAAGGAAGAAATAGCGTGGATTTTCCCGCGCCGTGAAATATGCCTCACCGCCGTGAGCCCCCTTTGGCATGAATATCGAGAGTTTCTCGTCGGCGACAGCGGCTAACGCACTTCGCTGACTGTGTGCGTGCCAGTCGTGTAACGTCTCGATTTAACTCCGATCGAAAAACTCGACAACTTCTAAACGACAAGTTCGCGGATCAAGTTCGGATGTTTTTTTTTTTATTTTTTATTTTTTTAAAGTAGCGCGATTGTATTAAAAAATTTTATTACAAAACAAATATAAATATTTCCTCGATCACGTTTTTGTCAAAAACAAAACAAGCAACAAATAAAATGTTACTGTTGTAAAAAACAAAAAAAAAAAAAGTTCTTCACGCTCTGTTAATGGCATGTGTCAACTCGTTTCGAGTATCATTACTTCGTGTGTCATTCTTCTTTATACATCATTACCGCGGCACGACACGTAACAAACATCAATTACGTGTTGTACATTGCGCACATACGTTCGGGCTTCGTTATCGGCAATTTTTACGTACAACCTCTCACGATGCTCTCTTCTCTCCCTCTCTTTCGCAAAAGTCGATGAATAAAAATTTCATTACATGAGTGTGTAACGGAATTTGATCGGCGTTAACCTTGATCGCGCTCTCTCTCTCTCTCTCTCTCTCTCTCTCTCTTTCTGCGTGCACGCGACAATAGTAGCTTTTACGCACACGAGTTCTTTCTCTCTCTCTCTCTCTTTACACACCTTCGATCGTAGATAATTACGTAGATTACGGGGATAGAATTACGATACGCTTGTTTTCAGTCACATAGCGTATATTCGCGTATACTCGGAAAGAACGATAACGATCGTTTTGTACGAGCAACAGGCCGGAGACGGACTCCGTGGGATTATCGAGAGCTTTATACGCGCTCGTGATACGTGCAAGAATCACGGCCGTTGAACGTCCCATTGAAATTTCGGAGCCCGCGCGCGGGCCGTGCGTGCGTGTTGACGCTTGAATACCGATGACAGTATTGCATCGCACACATACATTGAACGTGTGTACGATCGTGTTATTTTTTCTTTTTTCTTTTTTTTTTTTTTTTTTTTTTTTTTTTTTTTTTTTTTAGCAAACGCAAACTACAAAGGAAACCGAGGATATCCGTCGCGATATTTCGACGTTTGATTTTATCGACATCGTAGCAAGATTAATTTACAATCATATTTTTATTATGACTCTACAAAAATCGTGATGACGTAAAGAAATTTATATATATATATATTTTTTTTTTTCGATCTCCGCGTGATTCGATCTTCGATGTCGTCCCGTTTAAATATCCGCGTAATAAAGGTCAAAGAACGCACGGTACAACCTCGCGCGCATTGATGGCAGTGATGGCACGGTAAGAAGAGAAGAGTCGCGAGGCGAGGAGGAGGTGGAGAAAGAGAATATCGTCGAGAGGTCGTCCTCTCTCGTCTCTTTCAGCGAGAGAGACATTTAACCGAGTGCATATCGCGGGATTTCCATAACGGCCGACCGGTCCTTCTTCTTCCCCCTTCGCCGGTGCATGTGACCTATCCCCCGGCGGTAATTATGGCACAGTCGCGATTCTGTTCCGCGGCCTAGCCACAAAGTAGAATGCGCGCGATCACGTGGACCGCTCGCTGCTCTTTGGAGATATGTACAATACCTAGGTGCACACATGCGCGCGCGCCCACACATACACGCACTCTCTCTCTCTCTCTCTCTTTCTCTTTCTTCTTTTCTCTCTGTCTCTTTCTCTTTTCATCTTTCTCGCGAGAGCGGTAACAAAACGGCCGCGAATAATCCACGCGGCACAGTTCGCGGCCAGCTTTCAATCCCCTTCGTTGTCTCGTTTTGCCCCCCCCCCCTCCTTATATCTTCCTTCATCACCTTCTGTATTTGTGCACCCTTTCTTGTTCGTTCTCTCTCTCTCTTTTTTTTATTCTCCTCTCTCTCTCTTTTAAATCACGGCATTCTTTAGTTGCTCTCTGTTTATCTCTTTCTCTCTCACTTTGCATATTGGATTTAATGGTATAGTCATGCGACATCGACGGCTGCAGTTTTTCCCCTCTTTGCACCGCCGTCGTCTTCTTCTACTTGTTTTCGTTCGTCTTTCTCTATGTGGTTTCTCTATCCTCCTCTTTTACGCCTTTTATTCTCTTGCTCTCTCTAGGATAGAACACCACGACGACAGAACCGACCGTATGACGACGTGTATACACGCGGATACAGGTAGTAGTAGGCACCGCGAGCAGCCGCGTGCGCGCGCGCGCCACACGCACACACGTATACGGAGGAGCGTAACCTTTCCTTGACCCGCATACTGAACGGCTGTGCCGAGACTCGAACCGTGGGAACACACTACTCGACGATTCATCCCCCACCGCTCCGTCAGAATTCTACCTCCTCCTTCTCTTTCTCGTCTTTCCTCTCTCGGTCCCGCAGTCCTTTCTCTCTCTCTCTCTCCCCGTTATTCCTCTCGCTCCTTCGCATCCCGGGCCCTCTTTTCTCTCCCTCTTCCGCGGTGGCTGGTTCTTCCCGCTCGCGCCACCTTCGGTCCCCGCGTCTCTCTCTCTTCCCTCTTCCTCTCTCTTCCCTCTTGCACAGCTGAGACTGTGTGCCTCGGTGAATACATACGTGCTTGTTGTACGTGTGCGCACGTGTGTGTATATATATGTGTGATCTTCGGTTCCATCCTTGTCTCTCTCCTCGTATTCACTTTCTTCCGTCTTCGTTCCTCGCTTCTTCTTCGTGAAGCATATAACCCCCGCATGTAATGGCCGACCGTCGTGTATCCTTCTCATCTCCCGGCATACACCACCCCTTCCCGGCGCTTCATCTCTCACTCTCTGGCTGGCTTTTATCCACCTTTAAGATATTCCCCGTACAACGCTTCTCTCCTTCTCTCTCGGGCGAGCGAACCGCGAAATCTTTTCTTCCTTCGAGCCAGCCGAGAAGTCTCTCTCTCTCTCTCTCTCTCTCTCTCTCTCTCTCCCCCGTCTCGTCTTTGCTTCTCTTTCGTCTTCCTGCCGCACACATTCGCACTCGTCAACGACCTCTGTCCCTTCTACGATCTCCCTCGCTCCCTCCTCCCCCACAATCTTCCTTGTTACACCGGGATTTTGTCGACCTTCTTACTTCTGCCCGCGCGATCGCCTTCCGTCCGTCGCCGGTAAAACTCCTTTCGAAACTCTCGTGACCGACAGGGAACGAAGCGAGATAGAGAGGAAGGGGTCAGAAATACGGAGACTCGAACTTCACCCACGGCTCTCTCTCTCTCTCTCTCTCTCTCTCTCTCTCTTTCTCTGTCTATTACAATAAACGTGACGTCTAGTGGTCTATCTCAATTCTAATGAGACCGATATCGTGCGTGGCTCATCATCCATCCAACATATACCGACTTCGTTATCCCGGTAGAAAGTCCCTGATACAAGAAATAAATGATTTATGGGTGATTCAGCTTTCGTGGAAACGTGACACGTACCTCTTTCAACCATTTTATCCTCAGAGAGACAAGATCCTAATCACACAGATACAAGATACGATACGCATACGTGTATGTGTCAGGCTATTCTGATTTATTTCTTATTTTCTCTTTCTCTCTCTCTCTCGTTTGTATCTGCGTCTATGTATCTTTACGTTACTAAAAGAGCGACATTCTGTCGTTTTTGTTGTAGATGTCACCACGGCTGGAAGGGTACGCACTGCAACGAGTGTCTTCGGTATCCGGGCTGCCTCCACGGAACCTGCCAAAAGCCCTGGGAGTGCGCGTGTAACGAGGGTTGGGGCGGCCTGTTCTGCAACCAGGACCTCAACTACTGCACGAATCACAAGCCGTGCTTGAACGGCGGCACCTGCTTCAACACCGGCCAGGGCTCGTACACCTGCGCGTGCCCGCCAGGTTTTGCCGGCGAGAGATGCGAGACGCTGCTCGTCGACTGTCACTCCAAGCCTTGTCAGAACGGCGGTACCTGTACGAACGTGTCCACGAGCTATGTCAACAACACCGAGTCATCGTCCCACAGACAGCAGCAACATCATCGCGTCACGAGCTATCGTTGCACTTGTCCGCCCGGTTGGCGCGGTCGGCATTGCGAGATCACGACGAAATCCTGCCGGGATTCGCCGTGCAAGCACGGCGCTACCTGCGAGGACGATTCCGGACAGGGATACATATGTCGTTGCCCGGCCGGCTACACCGGCACTGACTGCGACACGCAAGTCGACGATTGCGCGCCGAATCCTTGCATGAACAACGGCACCTGCACAGACATTATCAATGGTTACCGGTGTACCTGTCCAGTCGGCTTCACCGGCGAGCGGTGCGAGATCAACGTGGACGACTGTGAGGGCGATCCTTGCCTGAACGGCGGCACCTGTCTGGACCAGGTGAACAGCTTTCGTTGCCAATGCGTTCCGGGTTACGTAGGCAGACTTTGCCAGGACAAAGTGAACTATTGCATGACAAAACCTTGCGCAAACGGGGGTAGATGTATCACCATGACCAACGATTATTATTGCGTGTGCAAGCCCGGCTTTACCGGAAAGGATTGCAGTGTGGACGTAGACGAATGTCGGAGCGCACCGTGTTCCAACGGCGGCACGTGTAAAAATCGCGTTGACGGTTTTCAGTGCGATTGTCCGAAAGGTTGGCACGGTCCTACATGTAGCGAAGAACCCGAGGCGATGCCGACACCGCTACCGTCCGCACCTACAACATCAACGAACACCGGAGCGGTACCGCCCTCGGGCACTGGTTACTGGACTGGTAATCTGTCCAAGCACGTCGCTTCCAGAGATGCCGGTTTGACTCCGGAACACTTGGTGATGATCGCGACTCTATCTACCGCGGTACCAGCCTTCGTGCTATTCGCCGTGGTCGCCGTGATGTGCATGAAGAGGCGACAGAAGCGGGAACAAGCGAGAGCCGACGAAGAGGCGAGGTTGCAAAACGAGAGAAACGCGGTACACAGCAGTATGAGTAAACGCAGTGCCAGCACTATTGGTGTCGGCACTGCCGGGGGTGGACTTGGCATGAGCGGCGGTGGTGGCAGCGGCAGCATCGGCGGCCTCTTGAGTAGCAGCGGCAGCGGTTTAATCGGTGCCGGAGGCGGTAGCGTTTGTGCTTTGGGTGCCGGTGACGCGCATATGATCAAGAACACCTGGACAGCGAGCAAAAGCGTCAATAATGTGGCGTCGGTGGTACGGCAGGACGACCTGGACACGTCCTTTCAGACGGATGTAACGTTGGACAGTTCGTGCTCGGGCTACAAACCGGAGCCGGTGTTGCAGGACGGTCGGACAACGAGGACAACGAAGCAGCTCAACACAGAGGCCGCTGCACATCGTGCGTCCGCGCATCTGTACCAAAAGGAGAAGGACTGTCTGGGCCTGGGCCTCGGTATTGGGGTCCTGGAGAGTGCCAAGAGGTCGTCCGTGTTTGTCAGTAACGCGGACAGTTGTTGCGCCACAGAGGCCGCGTTAATAAAGAGGCCGACGACTATATCGGAGGCCAACGGCGCCGGTAGCGGCGGCATCATCAGTAGTAGTGTTAGTAGTGGTCCACCGGGAAGCGGTGGTGGTGGTGCCACGGACAACAGCAGTTGCGGTGTGTATGTGATAGACGATCATTACAGGCACGACACCGCCACGCTGGCGGAAACGCTCGCGACAGAAGTGTAGTTTAGACTTATCGGGACGTCATTTAGACGTTAGTATAGACTCCGTTCTAAGAGAGTAAAAGAAAGAGAGAGAAAAAGAAAGAAGAATGCGTGAGAGAGATTCAGAAGCAGTGCGTGGGTGCGTGCTCGTGAATATTCAACAGATCAACCCCGTTCGATTTTCTTCGCGTTTCTCGGACGGCGCCGCTGCGACGCTCTCGAAATGGCGGCGCCTTCGTCTCGAATGTCCGCCAGCGAAACATTCAGTTTCTTTTTCCATTCTGTCTGTGGCTTATATTCTTTTTTTTTTTTCTTTTTTTTTTTTATACATATATTTTTTTTTATTTTTAATTTTTACCACAACTCTTCTGCAAGCGCCTTGTACTTGTGCATTCGTGACTCGGCGTCGCCGATGGGGACACCAATGTGGAGAAGAAGACGCGCGTTCCACAAAGTGTGCGCCGCGTCCCGGTTGTGCCGGTCGAGAACGGACTGATCCGAAGACTTTCGATCGGGGAAGGGTGACCGAGAGAAACGATCAAGACGAGGAGAAGAATTTAAACGCTGTGGGGGTCGGTCGGCTCCCCTCGACAGCCGCCGACCCGTCATTAGGGTATTAATATTATATATCGTGCTCGCGACAAAACGAAAACTCTGTACAGAACTAATTTATTATTATTGTTATTTACTTATTGTATTACCGATTGCTATTATTATGATTAATATTATTACACCGTATTGCGCATTATCATTGTTCCCGGTGTTAGTTTTTTTTTTTTTTTTTTTTTTAATTTTTTTTTCAAATTTGCGTGTCCGAGTCTTCGGTTGACGACACAGAGAGATCTTGCGTGTATGTGTTTCGTGTGAAAGAGTTTACGTATGTATGTGTAGCTGCGTGTTCAACGACGAAATCGGCACTTTTTTGAGCGACGTCACCTCTTCCTTACACGTTCTAACAAAATTTCGTACAACGCGTTCTCTATTATTTTTATGAATGAACTTTTTTTTTCTTGAACCTCTAACGGTGAGTTGTATTTCTTTTCTCAAAAAACGAAATAGCATTGTCTGCGTCCCAGACATCTTCACGACTGCGACGATTCAATTGAGTCGGCAAGAAGCGTGAAAATCGTTGAAAAGAAAAAATGCACTTTTCGGAATTCTCTCCAGTTGGACGACAATTCCGATCAATCACAAACCATCAATTCACGTCATTATTCGCGTTAAAAAAATAAAAAAAATAAAAAAAAAAAAAGATGAAAAGCTGCATACAATTTTCCGGATTCACGTCCTTTTAATCTATATACACAGTACGACTGTCATTCTGGTATGTGTGCCGATGTCGGATATTAACTTCCATAAAGAGGACTAATTGTGAATGAACGACGCGGATGAGAGAGCAAATTAGATTTTTTTGTAAAGCAAAACTCTAACGAGCAGGAAGATAAAGAGCAACCAAAAAGTCCGGAGGTAAAGTCTGTGCATGCAAAAACAAAGAAGTTCGCAAATCCTTCGGAATGTTTTCAACAAGATGTATCTCTTTTTTTTTATTCGCGCTAGGGGAGGAAAAGTGCTTCGTTCATTTTTCATTGAAAAATCCCGAAGGAATTCCGCGCGCGGCATTGGCTTTCTCTCGTCGAGAATAATTGATTGATCAGTGTATCTCTTCCAATCACTACAAACACGGCGTGTATCGTTCGACGTTTTTACATATTGTGCAAAAAAGTTTCGATGGAGTTCGTAATGGAAAAATAAACCAAGTGATTTTATAATTAAAAAAACGATCTACGTATTCTCTATCAAGTAATTTTCATTATTTTTTATTTTTTTTATTTTTTTTAATTACATTTTGCTCTACTTGATAGAAAATGTGAATAAATTTAATGTTTTAATAAAATTACTCGGTTCCGATTTTCTGTCGCGAAATCCATCGAAATTTTTCCGCATTCATTCGGTATTGGCTTGCGCTACGTACGATTGAAAAAAGAAAACAGATGAACGAGTAGATATATGTTTAAATTATGCAAGGATATATAGAGATATATATATATATATATATATAAAAATAAAAAGATACAAATATATATATATGTAAATGAACAGTGAGAGATATAGTGATCCGGCGATTTGTGTCGCGATGAACGCGGCTTCGTTCGTTTTCGAAGCGATACACGGCCGAAAACAGCGAGATGAAGCGAGTCGAGGCGAAAGCCGAAGAGAGGGAAACCATCATTATATCGTTGCGCCAAGAAGCGTTTGTTTTCCACCTAAATGACGATGCAATCAATTTTTTGAATCTTTTTTTGAAAATTTATATTTTCAAAAACACAAAGAAAATTCTTTTTGAAAAAATTCTTCGTGAAAATTGAAATCTTTTGAAATTTTTTTTCCATCGATTTCTATTATTTCATTCCTCACGCTGAACGAGCAAATTCGTGAATAATTTTGAGTAACGAATCTCCACTCGTTTAAGAGGAAGAAACGTTCAAAAAAGATTGTCCAGAGGGTTGTCCGCCGTTTCGGCTTTTGTACATTTCCTCGACACTTTCTCGCAAGTTCGTTCGATATGAAAGAACCGACGGCTTTGCGGCGCACGTTGCTTTTTTTTTCGTTCCTAAATTGCAAGCATTCGAGATTCACCAGTCGTGGAACGTGTAAGAAATTCGAATCACGATTGGTGAACCAAAACTAATAAAAGAATGCAGCACGAAGAAAAGCGCATTGTGTTGTCGCGAAGCTTTTTCACTCGCTGATTTTGGCCGAGCGATAGATAAGCGAAGATTAATTGTGTGTTGTTGTCGCACGTTAAGTGATGATTAATTATTTATTTATGACTGCTAATTGTGCGATTTGCGATGATTTTACATAGCGGAAAACAAAGAGAAACAAATAGATAGAAAAACGGCGAGCCAGATCGCACATCGCCGATCGTGATGACGATATTAGTGCGTTAGAAACGCGTACGTGCGATGAGAGAGTGAAAGAGAGAGAGAGAGAGAGTGTGTGTGTGTGTGTGTGTGTGTGTGTATGTGTGTGTGTGTGTATATGTAAGAGAGAGCATGCGAGAGAGAGAGTTGTAGCGAACAAAGATTCGATAATGTTCCTGTTACGAATAATGATAACTAATTAAAACGAAATGCAAGTATCGACTAAGTCAGGCTTATCTTTCGAGCGTCGTTCGCGCGCGGAGTCACAAAACGTGGCGCGTTTTGCGCGTATATCACGATTCTGTGCCGATCGTGTGTACGGTGATCGCGCGAATCGATGACCCTTCCATCCATCTCCCACATCTCGATCCGTTGTTTCCTCCCGATCGAACATCGATCGCGCGCGCGCGCGCGCACACACAGACTCCGAATTCTTCACGTAAAAAAGATAAAGTGCGTGCGTATAAAACAAAAACAAAAAAAAAACAAAAAATGCGAGATATTAATATTGTACGAATTACTACGATGTGTAATAAAGCTGTTGTCATTTTTTGTACTTACACTTCTTCAGGCGATTTTCATGTGTCTCGCTATCGTTGAACGGTATTTATTCCTTCGTCCCTTCCAATCCCTTCCCTCTGTCTCCGATTTCCTTTTACGTTAATTAAGTATGTTCGTTTATAAATCAATTCGAATTCCTGAACCTCAGTCTGTATTTTTTTTTTTTTTTTTT